GTAGCCACGGTCGTCCGCATGCCACGAAGTGAAGTGTCCGAACGTCATAGGGCGGGAAGCTGGGTGTGGGTGGTGGCGAAGAGTCGTTTGGAAATTTGGTAGAGCTTGAACTGGCCCCCCCACAAAGTGGGGGTATTGCCCGCCTCCTATGAAAACCCTGGCACTGGTGAGAACGGAGTGTCCCCACGTGCTAGTAATTGTTGTTGTTGTTGTTGTTGTTGTTGTTGTTGTTGTTGTTGTTGTTGTTGTTGTTGTTGTTGTTTTGATTTTTTTGCAGTCACACTGTGGCTGCGCTGCCTGCGAGATATGGCCCGAGTCGACCAGCCTCTACGGAGCCGCGGGCAGGGCGGCCCACGGCGGCCCGGGGGGGCCCGAGCTGCGGCGCGGGTCGACCCTGAGGGGGCCAAGAGTGCCGCGGAGCTCAGGATCACTCTCGCAATTGCGAAGGATTGCAATGAAGGATTCCAATGAAGGGTTTTTTTTTGCAATCCTTCGTTGAAGGGTTTTTTTGCAATCCAGGGTTTTTGTTTGCAATCCTTCGTTCAAATGCCGCGGAGCTCAGGATCACTCTCGCAATTGCGAAGGACAGCTCTAGCTCGTTGCCTACCGCGCGAAGTGGGAGCATCATGTTTATCCCCACGGGGGAGCGCTGATGCGAGGTGCCAAGACTACGAGCGGCAGCATTTCCCGCCAGGGTGTCAGCCTGCTGATTTCCTGCCGCAAGAAACAGATCGTGCCCTACCGTGCCCTGAGAGATCCGTCAAGGTCTGGTGCGAGCGGCCCCAAACAACATTGATTAGACTAGCGCCTCCATCTCTTGTAGCCAGCTTCCGCCTCATAGCAAGCCAGAGGTCATCATCTGTATTCGTGCCTTTGCCTAAGCCCGCTCGGAGAGACCCCTTCCGGCCTGCCATGCTCGCAGTAGGGCCAGACGGTCGGTAACAAACGTGAGCTGGCCCTGCGAGGTTTCCAGGGCCAGAGGAAAGGGGCGCAGCTCGCCTCAGACACCGTCTGGCAGGATCCAGGGAGAGGGGGGTGAAGAAGGATCGGACCCCCTGACGATCGCCGCCACTCCAGACCCTACCCGGCGTCGCCGAGAGACGTCCGCAGGAACGCTTCCAGACCCACCTCCAAGCAGAAAGAACTCTCCCGAAACGCTCTCAGCAGGCTCCCAGTCAGGCAAGCCCTTAGAAAAGGACGCGCCCTGGACGACCAGACCTTCTCTGCCAGGCTCAGAGTCAAACGAGGGGGTGATGAGAGCAATGGGCAAAACCCCTCCAAGCCATAGTGCTGCACCGGCGCCCTGTACAGCCAGCGCGAATGGGACGAGGTGTTCTTAGTCCGTGTTGCCGTCGCACTGCCGCGTGCGATGCAAACGCATTTCTGGAACGCGCATGCTGCGCCGCTCACAGAGAACACACGTGGCCATTGACAGCCACTGGCGATGGCATTGTTCGGCGCCCAATCGACGAATGCTCATTCGGCAAAGGACTTGCGCTGACCAGCACGGACCATGACAAGGCCAAGTCCCTGGCCAAGGGTGTCCACGTCCCCATGTAGAGCTGCCGCGAAACGCTGGAGCAGATGCAGGTCAACCGATCGATCGTGCAATCATATCTAGCTATCAGCATCGCGAAAGTCTGGGCCCGTTGCTGCTGGAAGGCTATATTCCTCGATGTAGCCGTCCATTTTGCCGACGCCATAGATCATCCGAGACTGGCTCCCACCTTGATTCGATCAGTGCCAATGGTGGCCCCCGGTGAACTTTTGACCCCCCCGACCCCGCGCGCAGTGGACCCCCCATCTGCGCGCGCAACAGGCCGCCGCTGACGACGCAGTGGCCTTATCTGCAAAGCTGGGGGACCCTTCCAGCTGATAGTGATATGGTTTCGCGAGGATTTGGGTGCGCGGTGGCAGCCCCGAGCCCCGTTCCGAACGGACCCCGCGCTGCCGCGCAGACTAGCAGCGGCAGTGGCCGGAGGGCAAGGGGATGCAGAAGTCGCACCGTCGCCCCCATATGCGATGCTGACAGCGCACGCAAGGAACCGCGACAGAAGCCGTACTCGAAGAGGTCGTACAGTGGGGGCTCGGCCACAAGAAACCTCCGCAAGAAACCCAACCCTGAAATCCGCGATTTGTTCAATGGAAATCCAAACTTGCCCATCGAAAATCATGGAGATCTTTTTTGAGACCCATCGAAGTCCAAGAAACCCAGGGCACCCTGGCAAAATCCAACTGGTTTCTTGGCACGCGCCCCCACTGTAAACGCAACCGAGCTCGGACTGGTCGTCGGGGGCCAGGCCGATCTCATTGGCGAGGCGGGCCTCGTCGTGGGCGCCCGCGACGTCGCCTGCTCGAGGCCCAGAGGGGGTCAGGGGCGTTGGCTGCCCGCGCCTCTGGATCAGCTGCGGCCCCGTCGCGAACGTCAGCCTTAAAAGCGCTGCAGCGCCCTCGAGAAGGACTGGCCTCGACGCTCTGCGGCGCGCCGGCGTGTGGAGGTCGCCGCCGCGCCCGCGACGGGAGCAGCAGCGGGTCCAGCAGCGTCGAGCTTGCGCTTCGTCTCGGCGGGGCGTTCCAGGCGCTTCTTCTGGCGCTGGTGTACCGCCTCGTTCTGCTTCGACATGGCTTCTCTGAAAACGCTTGAGAATGCTTCCTGAAACTGCTTGGCGGCGTCGTTCGTGCGATTCTCCAGCTCCTCAGAATCCGAAGGGCTAGTGTTGTGGCTCGCCGTGATCGCGCCCACGTCAATGAAGCCATCGCAAGAGAGAAGGTCAGCTGGCACTGTACCACTTACAAACAGCTTGCGCACGCTGAGGATCGCGGGAATTCATGCACTTGGCTCATCTCGTCCAGCATGCTGCTGCTGGCGATCACGAAACATGTCTCGTGCCTCCTTGAAGCTCGCGCTGCGTCTCCTTGACCGCCGTCGCGAGGTACGTACGTGACAGTCTTTCCCCAATCCTCGAGCTTCTCAGAGTCCTGGGTGAAGCGACGCTCCAGCTTATCATGTTTATGTTCGGCGTTGGTGGGCCGCCGACGCCATGAAGGGGTCGTGGGTGGGAAGGCGGACCGTGTAGCGAACGCCTCGTACTTGTTGGCCTCCTCGATGTCTCCTGCTTCTTGCGCCAGCCGCTGTAGTTCTTGAGCCTTCTCGGGGTCCGTGCTGAAAGAAGCCCACGAGGGAGGTGCCCCGCGGTAGCTCCTTGCCCATTGCCAAGCGCTCCCAGATCGCTCTTCGCAGCCCTGTTACCGCCTCTTGTCTTGCCACCGTCGCTCTGCTGTGCAAGTCCCGAGGCCTTGGAGTCCTGGAAACATATCATGAGTCCTGCGCCGCACGTGTCCCAAGCCGCTGACCGCAGTGTGTTGCAGAGAAGGAACCCCTTCTTGGGACTCGTCTTGCGCTGGTGATGGTGGCAGCAGATGCTTTCTGCCCCGCTGGTGCCTGTGAACCACGAGTCTACACTTCGGTCGGAAGAAGTAGGTAGAAACATGAAGTAGGAAGGCGGATATAGTAGATTGGGTCCAGGCCCTCCCAGAGAATAACAAAACACAGCAAAAGCATGTCGACTCATGAAGTAGGAAGGCGCTTGAAGTAGATTGGGATCTGGGAATCCAAAAATACATACTTTCAACGACCGGCGTGTACTTCCGAGCTGGTCCACGAGCCCCATTGCGTCCAGCCGCTGGAGTCCGTCGCCCTGCTGGCGGGAGCGCCGCCGCCCCGCCGACGAGGACGCCCTGCCCAGACCCATGGGGTGGCAGCTCCCCTCGCCACGGCCAGGAGGGCCGACAGGAGGAGAGACACGCCGCCAGAGAGACGCCGCCAGGAGACACGCGGCAGTTCCACTCGCCACGGCCAGGGCGGACAGCAGGAGACACGCCCTGCCCGGACCCAGGGGTGGCAGTTCCGCTCGCCACGGCCAGGGCCGACAGGAGGAGACGCGCCGCCGGAGAGACGCATGGCATGAGCGCGGTGGGCCGCCTGCAGAGCCCCTTTCGGGTCGGGCGAAAGGGGGGGATAGCAAAGGGGGGGGGTGAGAATCAGCTCACGTGGCTGATTTTCCGGGCGCCTCCCGGCGCCGGAGGCGGCCATGTATCGAGGGATGGGCCCCTCGGTGAGGCCGAAACCAGGTGCATGCAGCAGATTTCGTAACCCCCCCTTTCCCTATCCGATCCCCCCCTTTCGTCCGGCCCGACCCTTGCCTGCGGGCTGAGAGCGAGCCAGGTCCGAACGGACCTTGGCTGCCGCGGACCAGGGGTGCCCGTGAGGCCTGGGGGCCTGCCGCCCCCATGTTGGACATCTTGAACCAAAGTGGCTACGGAAGGAGGAGGAGGAGGAGGAGGAGGAGGAGGAGGAGGAGGAGGAGGAGGAGGAGGAGGAGAAATGATAGGAGGAACTCGTTTTATGCCGGGGGTTTGAGGGAAGAGTCTTGGCGGTTGTACCTGATTGGTTTTGGGAGGCGTGTCCAGGGGCCGAGGAGGAGGAGGAGGAGGGGAACATGATGAGGAGGGGGAAGAGGAGGAGAGGGAGGAGAGGGAGGAGAAGAGGAGAGGGAGGAGGAGGAGGAGAAGGAGGAGAGGGAGGAGAGGGAGGAGAGGGAGAAGAGGGAGGGAGGAGGGAGGAGGAGAGGAGGAGGAGGAGGAGGAGGAGGAGGAGAGGAGAAGGAGGAGAGGGAGGAGAGGGAGAGAGGGAGAAGAGGGAGGATGAGGAGGAGGAGGAGGAGGGGAGGAGGAGGAGGAGGAGGAGGAGGAGGAGGAGGAGGAGGGGGCCACACGTCCTGCCAATCCTCCTGCCTCCTCCTCCTTCTCTCTTCTGCCGCTCCGCCTCCCTTTCTCCCCATGCCATGTCGGGCTCCTCGTCCTGCCCCTCTCCCCCCTTGCCTCTCCCCGAGGCGGCCTGCCTCTCCCCCTGCCTCTCCCCTGCCTCTCCCCTCCACTTCTCCTCTGCAATATCGGGCTCCTCGTCCTGCCCCTCCCCCCTTGCCTCTCCCCGAGGCGGCCTGCGTGATGCCAGCCTGATCCATCCCGGCGCCGATGAAGACCAATTCCTGCCCAGGACGCCAGGAGGAGGGTGAGTAGGCGGCAGCAGGAGTCGGAGTAGGACGAGCAGCAGCAGCAGCAGCAGCAGCAGCAGCAGCAGCAGCAGCAGCAGCAGCAGCAGCAGCAGCAGAAGGGAAACGTATGAAGGGGAGAGGGATTGGACGAGGGACGGGAGGACGCTGGGGGAGGGGTAAGGATTCGGCTGGTAATCCTTCCTCCTTCACCGCCTCCTACGAAGACGAAGACTACAACGGAGTCGACGACGAGGGAGACCAAAACGAGCGCGCACGCGCGCGAATAACGCTTCCGTGCCGTGACGAGCGCCTTCCATGTGCTAGGCCACCGGAGAGAAGGAGGAGGAGGAGGAGGAGGAGGAGGAGGAGGAGGAGGAGGAAGAGGAGCATGAGGAGGAGGAGGGGGAGGAGGAGGAGGGGGAGGAGGAGGAGGAGGAGGAGGAGGAGGAGAAGGAGATGAAGAAAGATCGCGTGCACTGCCCTGGCCTCGAGAGGGCAGAAACTCGGACGGTAACGGGCTGGGCGGACGGCAACGGCCAACGGGTCCGGCCGCAGGTCGACGGACACTGGTCACGGATGGACACCTGGAGCACGGTGAAGGCATTTTTTTTTTTTTAAAAAAAAAAATAAAAAATAAAAAAAAAAAAAAACTCTTCGAGCGGGCGCGAACACCCGCGTGGTCATGCCACGAATTCACAGGCGCAGCCGCGCCCCCGCGCGAACGGCGCAGGGCGGCGGCGGGCCCCGCGGCGTCCGAGGAGGGGGCGTTCACCTGCGCGGGCCTCTCGTCCTCGCCGCGCGCGGGGCCGCAGCGCCGAGCGCCCGCGCGCGGTCACGCTCCCCGCGCGCCTGGGCTGCCTCGCGCCCTCGGGCGCGAGCGTCCTCCGCCGACGCGAAGCCGTGCGCGCGGAGGACGCCCTCCAGGGCGGGCACGAAGAGCTCCTGCTCGCCCTCGCGCTCCACGGGCTGCACCGCCGCCGCGGCCGAGGACGCCGAAGCACTCGTCGACGCCGCAGCCGCTCCGCCCGCAGGGCCAGCCACGCCAGCTGCGCGGCCCGCTGTATGCTGCGCTGCCTTCGATAAGGAACCTTCGATAAGGAATCCAGGGTCTGGAAGCCAGTGGAAAGCCCCTCGTGGATTGGCCATGGATATCACCGACGCCCTCATCGGATAAGGAACCCTCCAGTGTCTTAAGCCTCCTGGGCACGTTCCTTAACAAATGCCCCCTACCGTATCTTGCACGAATGAAACGCATCCTAGAGGGCGGTTTCATTTCCGCGAAATGTCTGCGGGAGGAGCAGGAGGAAAGCCGAAGGGGCGAGGCGGACAGAACGGATGACATCGCGAGCCGTCACAACTTGTACCAGGGCAACCCAAGGGAACACCCCTGTCCAAACTGAGACATCTTGAAAGTGCGGCCATTCTGTCGGAGCCGGACTCCAAGCGAACAACGGTCGAGACAGCGAGAGCAGGGGCAGGAGGAGGAGAGGCGGAGGAGGACACGGGGGTACCCTGGAGGAAAAGAGAGGCTACACGTTTCGCCCCGTAGGGACTCGTCGGGCCTAATTGGCAACTGTGCAGCATCGAACGAGCATCGTCGACGATGGGACCAGAGGCGGCGCGGAGAGATGCAGTGTACATAGGGCGTTTTAACGAAAGTAGTTTGCAGCGTCTTTGTGTTCTGACCCCCACACTGATCTTGGAGGAGAGGGGTCCTACACCCCTCATCAAAATTAACCTCAAACATGTCTTACATGGTTGAACTGTTTGCGAGTAGATACTGGACAGAGTAGCGATGATTGCGAGGTACTTGTATGCGCCGCCCCTCCAATGTCGGTCATCCTTGAACTTCCGAGTCGTTCCCGGTCAGACCACCTTTGCCCTGGCCCCGACAATCGAGGGGCGTCTGTCGACGTTGAAGAGCGCGCCGACAGCGCAGGGGCGTGTTCGCCATTATCGAGGTTAAATGTTTGACGATGGTAGGAGAAGTGTTTCGCACGTTTCGGACTTCGGGTCCTACGCGGGCCTCGAGGCCGAACAGGAGTAGCTAGGATGCGGTCCTGGGGGAGGCCCGGGGTCCGGGGCCTGCTTCCCTCCGCGCCCCCTTTCCTCCATGTCGAGGCATGCACACCTGCGCATGAGAGGAAAGCTTCATGAATATGGATTCGGGCATCAGGTTTCACTGAGAATCAAGGTTCAAGGGCAAGGTTCATGGTCAATCGTCTACGTCCAGTGTATGTGAGCGCAATAATGGCGCTCACAACACAGCTATTTTGTTGCCGACCTTCCAGGTTCCTTTCTTAAATGAGCTGGCTTTCGTAGGCAACAGACCACTGTGGAGAACACATGGGAGCACAACATGCAGCCCAAGAGCTGAGCATGGGACTCCAGCCGACCAGCACGAGTGGGAACAACAGCGCGCTGCGCGACCAAAGCTGCGCACCCTGGGCCGTAGGATACGAATGGAAAGAAGGACGGAAGGCATCCACGGACGGGGGTATGAAGAGGAGGAGGAGGAGGTGGGGGAGGATCAGGAGGAGAATCAAGAGGATGAGGAGAAGGAGGAAGAGGAGGAGGGGGAGGAGGAGGAGGAGGAGGAAAAGGAGGAGGAGGAGGAGAAGGAGGAGGAGGTGGAGGAGGAGGAGGAGGAGAAGGGGGGGAGGAGAGAGAAGGAGGAGGAGGGGAGGGAAAAGAGGAGGAGAAGGAGGAGGAGGAGGTGGAGCAAGATGACCCTCAGCGGCGGCGGCGGCAGCAACGCAGGGGAAGCAGGAGGCACGGCCCAAGCGCCGACCGACAGGGGACGGTGCAGAAGCCTCTAGGGCAGCCGCCCTGAGACTTCAAGGAGGAGGAGGAGGAAGCGGAGGAGAAGGAGGAAAAGGAGGAGGGGGAGGAGGAGGAGGAAAAGGAGGAGAAGGCGGAGGAGGAGGAGGAGGAGGAGGAGGAAAAGGAAGAGGAGGAGGAGGAGGAGGAGGAGAAGGCGGAGGAAGAGGAGGAGGAGGAGGCGGAAGAGGAGGAGGAGGAGGAGGAGGAGGAGAATCCAGGGCTGCCGCCCCGAGACTTCGAGGCTGCGCGTGACCTCTCAGCGCCAGCCGATGCAGCCAGCAAGAGCTCGAAAGCACCCACGGCGGCCTCGCCCGCGACGGCGCGCCGCGCCGCAACAACGGCCGCTCGGCAGCACGGCGCCCACCCGTGGGGCTCCAGAACCGCGCCTGCCCACACGGAGCTCACTCACCAGCTGGTCAGAAACGTAGGGCGACGAGATCTATACATGTCCCCTGCTCCTGGTCAGGCCCATCCTGGGCCCTGAAGCAGTGTATACGCCCTCCTGGCTTGGCCTGGGAGGCATACACACCGCTCCTGGGCCCAGGATGGGCCTGGCCAGGAGCCGCGGATATGTATAGGTCTCGTCGCCCTGAAATGCGCGCCAGCGGTGCAGGAGGCGCACTCCACGTCGACCTCCATCGCTCCACCCCGTCGATTGAGCAGGGACCGACCGTCCCGGCATTTCTATAGTCCTACCACGAAGCGTTCTTAGAACCCAAACATGCTCTAATAACAAAAGCAATGTTCTTAGACCATAAACCCGACGTGTTCAAACAAGACAATTTCAACCACAAAATGCTCTAAGAACCTTCCGTGGGAACCACAACACGGGTTCTTAGAACACTGTTTGGTAGGACTACAGGCACGCCGGGACGCTTCGCCGCTGCTTGACGTCGCTCCACCCCGTCGAAGCCGAGGATCGGGGATGGACAGACCCCCCCTTTAGGAAAACGTGGTTTAGTGAAAACGACCTGAGGCCCAAACCTGGCGGGCGCGAGCCTGGAAAACGACGGCCACGGAGCCCCCTCGAGAACCGAAAACGGATAATCCACTCATCGGCGTGTCGCTGTTGGGGGCTCTGCCCACCCCCGAGAGGACGGAGCTCCGGCCGCCCGCGCGCGAGCCCCGCCAGCGACGCGGAAGCCCGCGCGGCGCTCGTCGGCCCGCTGCCCGCGGGCGGCGAGCGCCCGCCGCGCCCGCGAAGCGCCCGCGAAGCGCACGGCGGCCGCTCTCCCCGGGAGCAGGCCGCCGCGGGGTCCCCCCGACGGACTGCCTACCAAAACCACCCCCGCCCAGCCCGAAGACCCGCACTTCGCCCGAATTTCGGGTTGGGGGGGGGGTACGGGTTCCATGTGTTTTTCCAGTGTTCCCCGACCCCCCCCCCCCCCACTGGAAAGGGAGGGCAAATCGGGGCCTTCGGGTTGGGTTGGGGTGGCTTGGTCGGTGGTGACCGACCCCCGGCAGACTCTATGATCGGCGGCGGACAAACCTCCCTTTAGTAAGCCTCCCCTCAGTGGAAACGGCCTGGGACCGAAACCGGCGGACCTGGACCCGCAAAAATGACGGCCGCGACGCCCTCTCGCGAACCGAAAAACGGCCAATTCGCTAATCGACGTGTCGGAGTAGGAGGTCTGCCCACCCCCGGTAGAAGCTGGAACAGACAGCGTGAGCGACGACATTCCCGCACCAGTGCGCCCCACAGTGCCAATCGCAATGTCACAATCAAGCCCTACGGTATTCAGAACTTTTCTTCTGCAGAGACTCTGCCATTTTAGCCAGACAGGTATGGGAATCAATCAGCGGACTCGGACTATTCTCTCTCTCTCTCTCTCACGCTCTATCTTCTCTATCACGATATATATATATATATATATATATATATATATATATATATATATATCCCTCTCTCATATCCCTCTCTCTCTCTCTCTTTCTAGCTCTGTCTCTCTGTCTCTCTCTCTCTCTCTCTCTTTCTATCCATCTTTCTAACTTCCCAACGGTCGCTTTCCGCTCACGTACCCGCAACTCCCATTGCATGCTTCCACTCCTGGTACCCCCATCGTGTTTCAAATCATCGGAGTTGGGACATTCCTGCCCGTTCTGCAGCGCTCCACTTCCACGATCACGCTCCCTCCGAAGCCTACGACAGCTATCGGCAACGCGTCGCTGCCCCTCGCGCAGCAAGTGACCGCTACCATGCAGCGTTTCAAGTCGGAGACGGCAGGAGGGAGGAGGGTGGGACAGTACTGCGGGATGACGATTAATAAAAAATGGGAGAGAACGATCAAAAAATAGCTTGCTACTATTTCTGCAATTTTCTGACTGGAGGAAAACGATTAAAAAATAGTTTTCCAGCCCGCGGCCGGTTTTTTCTAATCGTCATCCCGGGCGCCGCCGCGTGAACACGACCCCCGGTCATTTAGCAATCGTCATCCTCCATTACTGAAGGGTGCGCTTCCCCCTTTTGGACCATCCCAGAGAAGAGCGCCGACGAGAGAGCAGGCAGAGGCGAGGAAGACGAGGCGTGTCCTGGCACGGGCAGGGCGCGGCGCCGGGCGCGGGCGCAACCTGCAGCTGCCTGCCGGCGTGGGACCAGTACAGCGCCCCCTCGCTGCCCGCCACGCGCACGAAGCCCTTGGAGCGCAGGACGCCACGGAACGCGGCCGTTGGCGCGGGGGCGCCCGCGGTGGCGCCCGCGAAGCCGACGTCGGCCACGGCGACCGGGAGCTGCCTCGCGACGGCCGCCAGGCGCTCCTGGGAGACCGCCACTCCCCGGACCCCTCCCGGGGGTGCGTTCTGACCAGGACTTCGAGGCGAAGCCAGCGGTGGCGACGAGGGCCTCCCAGGAGGCCCAAGAGAGGCGAACACGAGGGGAGGGTAGAGGAGGGTAGGGGTACCTGTTTTTTTCCGAGCTCCGGGTCGAACTGGCGGTCCGCGCAGCGGTAGACGAAGCTCGAGATGCCGAAGCGCGCGTGGCTCGCCTCCTCCCTGCAGGCGTCGCAGTCGGCGGCGCCCTCGCCGTGGCTGTGGCCGCTCGGGCCGTGCTCGCCGTGGGAGTGGCCGCCGTGGCCGTGCTCGGCGTGACCTTCGGAGGGTCAGGTCGGGCAGGTCCCCCTTATGGCAGGCTCGCGTCGTGTCGACCGTGGCGTTGGTTGCCGCCAGCCTACACGACGCGAACCTGCCCTACAGGCGGATCTTTGAAGAAAAATGAAAACTAGCCAAAACAGATAACCAAAACTCATCCAAGGAGCACGCAGAACTTCATTCCTCCAGATGAGGGGCGCGCCCGAGGTACTTAACCTTAGGGGTCCCGAGAAAATCATCCCCAGGCTGTTGTAAACATTATTCTCGAGTACTCCTCCTGTAGAGGGGCGTGCCCGTCTTACTTACACTGAGGGGTCCTGAGACGGTGCGGTGACAGACCGCGTGGTGGCGCTGGAACTCCCAAAGGCCTCACCGCACGGTCCCTCCCAGACCCCCTCGAGCAATGAAAAATCACGATGGGAGGTTTTTCACCTTTTTCGGCCTGGCCCTGGCTGGGCCTCAGGGCCGTCAAAAACGACTCGGAGTGAAAAACCGGTCCTGGGGAATGAGTCGAGACCTCGGGGAGTCGACGTTGACAAAAATCATGACGTCGTGGGTCTGGGAAAGCTTCAACTTAGGGTCGCGGAATCGTGCGGCGAGGGACCCTAAGTCGCCAGTCGCCAGAGGCCCCAGTCGCCAGAGGCCCCAGTCGCGAGGGATCAACTTAGAGTCGAGGCCCCAGTCGCCAGAGGCATCTTCGAGGAATGGCCCAAGTCCTAAAACCGTGCGGCCACCCTGGATCTCTGCCGACGCACCACCCGGTATGGTCACCGCTCCGCTTGCAGTGGGGGCCCTGTCTTAGACGAGCGCTGCCCTGATTGCTTCAATACGCGGTCCCCGGCAGTCCCGGCCGCTTTCCCAAGGCCGGATTTTCACCCCCGAAGCGTTTTTGAGGGTCGTGCACGGGCCCGGCAGGGCCCCCCAGAGGGCGAAAGTCAGCACCTCCGCCTTGGACGCCCGATTTAGCTGGGATAACTCTTGCCCGGGGTAACTCCAAAAGTGTCCCCCGACGCGCGGACCAGCAACTACCCCTGACCGCCCCCAGCCCCGATCATTCGGGAGTGATTGGACGCCCGCGCTATCCTGGATAACTCCAGTCTGGGGTGACTCCTCTTAGGGCCCGCGATGCGCGAGTCTGACCGCCCCCAGCCCGGCCCAGCCCTGATGATTCAATGATCTGAGCTGCATTCGGCTACGCGCAAGAGTGACCCTGGGCAAGAGTAACCTGTAGTGCGTGGATGAAGGGGCCGCAGGGTGGCCAAGTCCAAGCGCGCAAACAGCCGCTATCGCACCGCGCTCAACGATCGGGGGGATCCTGGTGAGCCCGCATCAAAAGGTCACCCCGGCGAAGAGTCACTCGTGCACGCCTGTCGGAAGTAGGTCGAAACATGAAGTATGAAGGCTGATGAAGTATGTTGAATGCGGGCACACCCAGAAAAATAGCAAGACACGACCAAACACATCGATCCTTGACATAGGAAGGCGCCAGACATAGATTGGGATCCGGCAGCCCAAAATACCTACTTCCAACGACCAGCG